TAAACATATATTTTCAAGAACATATTTATTATAAATATTATTAATCTCTATGGTTTGTAATGAACTTTTGATCAAAGTACTTACTATTACCAAACATCAGAGTGTGAATCCTCACATTAGCCAAACATAGCCTCTATGAATCTTAACCAAATTTGGTCATAATTAATTATTGATGGGATTGAGAAAATGGACATAAAAATATATATAAGTATACTTGATATTATATTTTAACCTAAAATCTTAATACTTGAGTTTATAAGTATTTTCACTTTTATATATATATATATATATATTATTGAATATAATTTTATTTGATGTGAGACTTTTTTATGTTAAATTGTTTGTACTTGCATTTAACTATGAAAAGAAATTTAAAAAATATATAAATTCAAGAGATTTTACAACTTCATTAGTTAGAATTGACACTTTTTTTGCACACCACGTTATAAAATGCAAGTGACATATGAAAATAAAAAAATAGTTAAAGAGCATTAAATGATTAGTATTTGTCTTTTATTTCTAAAGATTTTAGATACTATGCATGAATATACATTTGACTTTGACTCTTAAATGGGAATACGTTGATTGCACATGGGAATTTCTCATGGTATTTATTGAGAGATCACAAATGATTCCAAAACTCAAATTTAATCAACATTAAAAAAAGTCAGAACTTATTAAAAATTCATCTAATGCCCACATTCCCAATATTCCCGTATCATATGCCTTCTTATAACTAAAATAAGTAACTAATTATAATTAATCCATTTATATTGTCAATATACTCTAATTTATAATGATAGATTAATTAATATATCTAATATGTTGTAATCCCTTTTTTATATAATTACGCGATCTTTGTGATATGTTTCTTTTTGTATGTAATTGTTCAATGAGTCCATGCATTGCAAGTAATCATAATTTTATTTTGAAAAATCAATCTGCATGTCCTTGTATTTTTTTTTGAAATTTTCAATTAGGTCTTTAGAATTTATTTTATTTTAATCAAGCTCTTATAATTTAATCAATTAAGTTTGTTAATATTTGAATGTTAAAATTATTAATGAATGATTAAATTTTTTAAAAACAAAAATACTTTTAAAATTTATAAACAATGGATTTAATATTTTGGCCCGAAAAAAGAATATGTGGTTTAATATAATGTTTACACTTTTATAAAATTATATATGTACAAAAATTATTTAGAAAACACTACCTAATTATATAAATTTTGAATTATTAAAATTAAGCAATCAATTTTAAAGTTTTATAAGATTTTAATAAAAAATATGAAAGTATTTAATTTTAATTTTTAATATAAAAAATTCAAAAAAATTATTTTTTAGGGTCAACATATTTATTAATTGGTCAAACTATAAGAATTTAATTAAAACAAAGCAAGTTATAGAAATCTATTTCAAAATTGAGAAAAACTTTAAGAATTTGCAGATTATTTTTTACTTTTATTTTGGAAGGAAAACAACTAAATCTAACACAAATCAAAAGCTGGACTCATATGTATTAATAGAAATCTAATATATCTTTTGAACAGTGGGCATTTTAATTAAAAAAATTAAATAGAAAAATTTACTAGTATAATACGTAACGTGATAATAAAGAAACTAATCTAGGAGTCCATTGAAGGGTAAAAAATCGTTTGAACACAAGTTCTTTTGTAAGGTGGCATAGCAAATCTCTCAAGCCTCAGCGTCAAAAGAGAAAACTTAAAAAATAATGCAAAATAATTATTCGGTGATAGAAATTGAGACAGCCCCGTAATCACCGTTTTTAAGGAAAATGACTCATTACAGAAAAAGTCAATTCCAATCTTACACCTCCTCAAAAGAAGAGTGCGTGACGGTGTGATAAATTCAAAAAGAGACACATGAATTTATTTTTTTTTTAAGTATTTACGCCAACTAAAGAGTGAAGAGCAATAAAGGAAAAATATAATAGTATATTCCTGTATTTTTTTTGGTTATCCAATATATCTTCATGACAAGTAGTAACAAGAGTAACTCTTAAAAAAATTAAACACCATTTAAGAAGTTATTATTTTTTAAGTAATGTTTTTTCATACACATTTTTGAATATCGATATATATTCTTGTATTTTGATTGTGTTTTTTTTTGTCATTATAATTTTTTTTTGGTCGCTCTCAGTCTATTTAGTTTAATTAATCTGTCACATTAATCTTTGTAATTTTGAAAATGCACATAAAGATAATGAGTTGGAACTAACAGAATTAATTTCGCTGTAATTCTGCAAACTCCTGAGCTAACTTGGTAAGAATATGTTGACGTGAAAATAAATAGAGTGGTTATGATTAAAAAAAAAAATACTCCCTCCGTTTAAAAATATAAGACATTTTTTGAAAAGTTGGATGTTTAAAAATGTAAGGTATTTTTAGTCTTTTGAGATGTAATCATTGTCTTTTTTTAAAAATGCCCCTATTGATAATAATTTTATATTTATTATAAGGTATTTAATAGAGGTAAATATGAAAAGATAAGATTAGTTGAAAAGTTAGTAACTACTTTATTGAGGGATAAAATTCAGTTAAAAATATCTTATATTTTTGAATAAAGGGAATAAAAGGTAAGGAAGAAAAAACTTCTTTTATATTTGATTTAAACAAAATGTGAGAGACAAACAAGGCAACAAGAGTTAGGCCCAGTGGAAAGAATTGGTCTTGTACAAGTACATAAAGATTTGAATTTTTGTTAAGAGAACTGTTTACATTTAGTATATGTCTCGAATAGAATTTTTTTTTTAATGAAAGAATACCTATGGACAAAAAAAAATGTGGGAGATGAAGATGAGATTAAGTACAAGTCAGCAAGTTAGTTAATAGAGTTAAATACATGTTAGCAAAATTAATTATGTCAATGTCAGCTTATGGTCCTTAAGTGTGTATTTTCACAATGCAGGCAAATTAAATTAAAGAGATTGAGAATAACAAAATAAAATTATAGGGAGTAAAGCAACACACAATAAAAGTACACGACCTGTTGGATTTTTCGATTAATAGATATATATTAGATAGACTAACTCAAATTGGGGTAAATAATAATATTCAATATGCGCTTTTGTTATTTAAGTAAATAATTGAACGTTTATGTTCCAGTCTTTGTATATTTCCCAGCTTAAGTTAGAAGGGTCTACGATTCATCCTCAATAATAATCAATATTCATTTATAAATAGTCGCAGCCACTCTAATTTTTAATATTAATATAATATATACTCTCTCTCTCCCTCTCCCTCTCTCTCTCTAAATATGAGGCATGCTTTTGTACTTTCTTACGTTTTAATAGAGTACAAGGCTGATGAAGTTCCAAGAGCTATTAATAATTTTCTTACCTAAAATATCTCTCTTAGCGCAAGTTACCTCCTACTTAACAAAATAATTAATTATTTATAGTTTTCTCTACTTTCTAAATTATAAAATATTTTTGAGAGAGATTTAACATTCTAAAATATAAGATATTCTGATAAAAATAAAATTTTATTAATGATATTTTTTTAATATTACTCTTATTATATATTCTCTATCTCTAATATTTTTTACAATGAAGTATTAAATGAATGATATTTTTTAAATTTTAAATTTTTATTTTAAAAAAAATTGTAAAGTGCATTTAATGAATTTTATTGATAGGTGTATTTTGTTAAAAATATCTTATAAATTGAGACATAAAGAGTATTGAAGAAGGATAAAGCTTAAAAAATTTAAAATCTTAACTACCTTTCCCCCCCTATTCGTGTGTTTTGTTGAAATAACTTGGAAAGAGTACATAATTATATTAATAATAGAATAAATAAGTAAATTATCTTTTAAATTTTAAATCTAATAATATTATAAATCTTAAATTTATTTATTATGTAAATTATTCCTTTAAACTATGAAAATGATGTAATTTTAGCCCCTATGCTAATAAAAGTTAACATAGATCCATCATAAAATGAGAAAAAAAGAACATCAAGCATTACAAAAAAAGGTAAAAAAAATTACCATAAAAAGTCCAAAAATTAAAGACAAGAAAACAAACAATTGTAGAAGAGGACCCAAAATATATAATTTTTGATATCATTTTTTTGTTATTTCTGGTCAATTATTATCAAAGTTACTTCCTCCATTAAAAAATATAAGATATTTTTAATTGAATCTCACCTCCAATAAAGTAGTTATCTACTTTCAAACTAATCTTATTTTTTATATTTATCCTTACTAAACACCTTATAATAAATATAAAGTCATTATCAATATGGGTATTTTTGAAAAAAAAGGCAATAATTACATTTTAAAAGACTAAAAATATCTTATATTTTTAAATATCTAACTTTTTAAAAAATGTCTTCATTTTTTAACGGAGGGAGTAACTTTTATTAATAGTATAAACTATATGGAATGTTTTTAAAAGTTGAGAGAACTATTTGAATAATAAAAAAATTTAAAATTAGGAGAATGACATAGAGGACTTAAAAGGATTAATTAATTCAAGTTAAATTTAAAGTGCTAAATTTTAAAAATTTGTAACTCAATCTCTCAATTTCACAATTTTATTATCGTAAATTTGTAACTTAGATTTCAAATTTTAATAGAAATTTTTTTTTATCCTTCAATCATGCTAAAATTTAAAAAATAAGTTGTAAATTTATCACAATACAGTTATAAAATTAAGAGATTAAGTTATAAATTTTTGAAACTTAATACTTAAAATTTAATTTAAATTAATTCACCATTTCGTGACTTTTTTGTCGTTCTCCCTTTAAAATTTAAGGTGATACCGATCTAAAGTTTAAGATAATTTGCTCATTTATTTTTAACAATATTATTGATAAGGTATGGATTCCTTCGTTTTTTTTTTTTTTTAAATTTACTACAGCTACAGCTCACGGGCAACTTTTTGTCTTTTTCAGCAGAAGGTTGAAAAAGAACGAAAGGGAGAGAAAGAAATCAAGTAATCGACTGTATAATTATTGTTTCGAATTTGTCGAAACCACCACTTTTCCTTCGGGAGTGCATGTGAGCGAGTGAAGCTAAGGGTCTTCTCAAGTGGCCTCCACGTTTTCCTCTGCGTACCTGGTTGTCTTCTATTCCACCATTTTCCGCGAAAGAAGCTTTTCTGAACAATTCTGAGGTTCCAACCTGTCTTACATTCATGTCTCAGTCTTAGGTAAAACATTTCTTCATTTTCAGTTCGTTCGTTCGTTCGTTCTCAACCCTGCTTGTTTTCTGGCTGTCTGCTCATTCTGCCCCTTGCCTTGACTTTTGGTTCTGGAGTATAGAAGATGAGTTACAAATGTGGGTGATAATGCTGCAGGTTTGATTTGTCTTTCTCCCTAAACTTTCTGCATTTCCTTGAGGATTATACTGGAGTGTCCGCAAATTTTCTTCGTAGGAGTTGTGGGTATATTGACTTTTGTTTACTTCTTCTAAGCCTCATTCTCCTGAATTGGGCCATCCTGGTCAAGTTGATTGTTGAAGAAATTTGTGCATTTCTCTGGGGGAAGACTTGATCTGTATTTTGTGGCTGATTTCCGATCTGGAAGGTTTTGCTTTGCCTACTGTTTTTTTTCCCCTGGGAAAGTACTGGTGACTTGAGGATCGTTAATTTTGTGAAATAGAAATGGAAATATTTTAGTGCATTTTGATCTCTTGGGAAGGTTACATTGATGGCTTCTCCAAATTCTTCCCCTACTTCTGTGCCACCTACTTCTGCTGATAATTCCCCCTCAAATTCTGTCATATCATCACGGCCTCCCACTTCTTCTCCCCCAAGTCAAACCTCTAATACCCCTGCTCCTTCATCTCTTGACACTGCAACCCCACCTCCTTCCCCATCTCTTTCTCCTCCCCCAGCTACACCACCACCAGCTTCATCCCCGCCTCCGGCATTGCCACCACCGGCTTCACCTCCACCTGAAACATTGCCACCACCGGCTTCACCCCCACCTACGGCATTGCCACCATCACCACCTTTACCATCGACACCAAATTCTCCTCCACCAACATCTTCAGCATTGCCACCACCATCTCCTCCACCAGCATCTGCCTCCACCCCTCCTCCAACTGAGAATTCACCTGCCATTTCAAATTTGTCCCCACCACCTCCTGTTGCTGGTTCTCCTCCTCCCCAAGCCTCAAATGAAACTCCCGCAGCCAATCCACCTCCCTCTCGACGCAATTCACCTCGTCCTCCTCCCCCTCCTCCCCCTCCTCCAAAGAATGTCCCAAAATCACCATCCCTCAGTTCCCCTCCTCCACCTCTGGGAAAGCCGCCAGAAAGTACTCCTTTGCTCACTCCCCCGCCATCTGTTTCAGAATCTCCTCCTTCTCCTTCTGCAGCTGATCCCCCTCGATCCACTACACCATCACCTCCTCCTTCAGTTCCAGCTGCTTCTTCATCTCCACCAACTGTTTCACCTTCTCCTCCAACTAATTCATCAGCTGCTGGGAGTCCAATTGCATCCCTACCGTCTATTCCAACAGAGAAACCAACTGCGAAACCAACTGGTGATGCTAGTGTAACTACAAATGCCCCGTCTACACATGCAAAGGGGTTGAGTACAGGAGGAGGTGTGGCCATTGGCATTGTAGTTGGCTTTGTTGTCCTCAGCCTTCTTATTATGGCTGTGTGGTTTGTAAAACGAAAGCGGAAGGAAAAAGGAGCAAAAGTTGGTTATGCTATGACCTCTCCATTTGGCTCATCTCAGAATTCAGGTATTGCATTGTACACCGCCAACAGTCAGGAATATTTCTCTCATTGGCTGTTTAAATGTATTCTAATTCTGGTTAATCTCAACTATGTGCTATTCAGATTACTACTAGCAGATCTCCTAAATTATATGCAAACATGAATTTTAGATAATCTGGGAACATAAAGATTCTGGTTGCTGCATACTTTAGAAGGCAACATGGAGAAGTTCCTAGCCTCTGTTGCTGGATATTCTTCAGACGAACCAGGGAGATGCTGTAGTAATGATGAAAATTCTAATTATTAATCATCATTAAACATCACTGTTTTCAAAGATGTAAAAACCTACAGCATGGGGATGTGGTCCTTTGCATGAAATCTCTATTCTTTTGTCTGTCTGCTCTGCTGTGCTACACTTTTATTGGCTGTGTCTACTGATTCTATACACCTCTGCAATGTTAAGTAACTGTAATAATGAAACTTGATTTTTCTTGTCAAACTTTTCTAACTAGAAATATTTGAAACACATGCTTGTGTTTAGATGACATGCAACTGGACAGCTGGCTTGCCTTTTATAGTTGCAACTTATTGAGTAATAATTGAATGTTCAAATGACAACTGGAATGATTTTTCTGAAAATTAACTTTCTCCTCTAGGTACCATATTCTTGAGGCCACAATCTCCGGTTCCCTATTATGGTAGTAACTCTGGCAGTGGGATCATTTATTCTCCATCAGAGCCTGGTGGAGTAAGTCAGTCAAGATCATCATTCATGTATGAAGAACTTGTGCAAGCGACTAATGGGTTTTCTGCACAAAACCTTTTGGGTGAAGGTGGATTTGGTTGTGTCTTCAAAGGTATGCTCACTGATGGAAGAGAAGTCGCTGTGAAACAGCTCAAAGTTGGTGGCGGGCAAGGGGAACGTGAATTCCAAGCAGAAGTTGAGATTATTAGCCGAGTACATCATCGCCATCTGGTTTCCTTGGTGGGTTACTGTATATCGGAGCATCAAAGACTGCTTGTCTATGACTATTTGCCCAACAATACCCTTCATTACCATCTTCACGGTAAGGAATGTATCAGGCTAAATAACTTTAACAATTTTAACATATAAGTAAATGTAATATAACTGCACAAATTTTCAGCTTCAAAAGAGTAGTCCATATGTTGAAAAAGTATAATTGAAATAGTTCATCTATGCATATCATGCTGCTTGTGCTGTCATAAAATTATGCTTCAGGCTTAAAGCAAGGTATAATCCCTTGACAAAATTTTGATTTAAAATATATATTAAACTTTGCAGGTGCAGACAGGCCAGTTTTGGAATGGGCTACCAGAGTCAAGATTGCTGCTGGTTCAGCCCGTGGAATAGCTTACCTACATGAAGACTGTAAATCACTTCCTTTTATTTAAGTTTTCCATGGTGCATATTCGATGCTTTTAACTTGAATATCTCAATTGTGAAGATAGACCAAAAAATAAAGCATTTCCATGATGCCACTACATTAGTTGCTTGATCTTTTGAACTTTTACAGCAAATATTTCCATAAACAACTTATTTTATATTCCACCTTACATATTGGCCAAAAATATTCCACCTTATATTATTTCTTTGATTTATTTATCAGGTCATCCACGCATTATTCACCGAGACATCAAGTCATCAAACATCCTTCTTGACAGCAATTTTGAAGCTCGGGTAAGCCACTACTCTACCATAACGCATATTTTCTCTGTTATGAGTTCCAATTTCAATTTTTCATTTGAGTGATTTGCTATAACAGCTAATGCCACAACAGATTATAAAAATTTCTAATTGACTAAATCTATCTAGTATATTCTCAAGGCATTGGCATACCCAAATTTAAATTTTACTTTCTTAATGCAATTTGTTTTTAAGGCTATTTTTGGGGGCTTGACCAACAGGTTTCAGATTTTGGGCTTGCAAAATTAGCCTTGGATTCATACACACATGTAACTACCCGTGTAATGGGAACCTTTGGGTATGTAACCTCTGTTTACATTTGAGTGACAATAATTTGGTTTTTATTGATTGTCTCCTATTATTGTCGATGATTTCCTCTTGTTTATCCCTGTTGGAATATGTCTATCACAGCCATTATTAGTTCTTTAATGTGTTCTTTCATCACCAAGTACCACAGCCAGTCAGTTTGTTGATAAAGATTGTTTGAAAGGAGATATTGGGGAAGTAGTGGATAAGATAACGTATTACTACGGTATTTTTATTCCTCTGCAGGATGTATATCATATGGTTATAATCAAATATATGTGGTGTAGAACCAACCAATTAAAAAAAAAAAACACTATAAACATAACTCAGATAATTAGGGTTACTTTCATAAGCAAGAAGTAACTGTTATGATTGACTACTAGACACCTACTTGTAGCTTGGTGTAGGCTAAGATAGCTCAAGGCCCAAGATGTTAAAATTACCCTAACCCCTAAAGTCTCTTGTTGAAATCTTACAACAACAATAACAACAAGCTTAATCTCATTAAGTGGAGTAAGTTATATGAATTTCTCGACATCTTTATGCTCTCTCAACAACCAAGATTTTGGGTATGTTGCTGAAACCTTAATTGAAATATAATTCCCAAATCAAAAAGGCAAAGAAATATCTACATCAATTGGTTTGTGATCTTGCAAGTATTTTATAGTTGCAATATTGTTTTTAAATTTCCAGTCATCTGATGCTGATGAATTTAAATATGAAATTTATGGCCTTTTTACATATGGACTGGAGCTTAATGTCATGTCATCTGGATATTGACATTACTCATCTCATGTTCCTACTTTGAGGATGTATGATGACAGAGTTATACAAATTTCAGGTACATGGCACCAGAATATGCAACAAGTGGGAAATTGACTGAAAAATCTGATGTTTATTCCTTTGGGGTTGTGCTTTTGGAGCTAATTACAGGTCGGAGGCCTGTGGATGCCTCTCAGCCAATTGGTGATGAGAGCCTGGTTGAATGGGTAAATTAAATACAAGCTTTAACATTGATATGCTTCTTCATCTTCTTCTCTCTGATATTTATAGGAGAGATGATGTAGTACCAGTGGAAGAAATAAGGAAGGGGAGGAGGAAATAGCTGGGATAGAGGATGGGGAGAAAGAGAAATACCGATTGTTTAATTCAATCACTAAGCTCCATAAAAAGTCAACTGACAAGGGTTTATAAAGAACTCTGAAAAAAAGTGAAGGATTCAGAGGAGCTTCTTGAGCTTTCGTACACATAATTCTTATTTTGCAATGTGAATCCTTGTACTTAATTTATTCTTTCCGACGTTTGACAGTCATAAAGAAGACAACAAAATCAGGAAAAACCATGGCCTCACTTATATACCATTATATAGAAGCGTGTCGGAATCATCCTTCTCCTCCCAACTCAAGAAAAAAAGCTGTAATATTAAAAATAGAAAACTGTAGTAGTTTAGAAAAGAGTTATCGTGATGAGAGATATTAAGTGCTTGGGAAAGTTTTGTAGGGTTAAAAAATTGGTATCTGCAGTGGACCCAAAGTTTAGAGCACATGTGATTTTGAGTTGTCATAACTCAATAGTGCTGGTATAGAGGTTGAAGGCCGAGGGGTCACCGTAGGGTAATTGAGCCTCCCAGCAACATTTTGTTTGTTGCCCCTTTCTTTTCCGCCTATCTTTTGCTCTCCTTATTCTCTCATCACCTTTGTAGCTACTGTTTATATTCATGGGACTATTGTGTTGACATATCAAACATGATTTATCTAGACAATAAAAACTGACATCAAATTTTAGTAGAATATGATATTTTGCCTAATTTATGATGAAACTCTTGAGTGTCTAAGATAGTTTTTGATTTTCAGGCTCGACCTTTGCTAACTGAAGCACTTGATACTGAAGACTTCGAAATATTGGTGGATCCAAGGTTAGGGAAGAACTATAACAGAAATGAAATGTTCCGGATGATTGAGGCAGCGGCAGCCTGTGTGCGTCACTCTGCTGTGAAGAGGCCACGAATGAGTCAGGTAATTTTGTTCTTTACCATGAACATTTCACAAGGAAACAACATCGAATTTCGGAAGGGGGAAGGTTAAGCAATTTAGTCAAAATTAACTTCAGACCACAACAGATTCAATCTGTATACTTCTTATTGTTTCTTTTTCATCTATCTGTATGCTAAACATGATCTTATGTTACAGCATCCAAAGATACCGTGAAATATGAGATTACTGTGTAATACAAAACAAGAAGCCTCATTTTACTTGGTGGGATCAGTTACATAAATTACATGATGTTATTTTGGTGTATCAACAACCAAATCTCTAAAGATATTGTTAACCAAAAGATCCTTTTCAATAATTTCATTTAGTGTTCTCTTTGATTTTCTTATATCTTTTTTTACAGGAGTCAAAATTGTCCGTTCCACCCTTAACACCAATGTCTCCACTGGATTTCTTTGAAGACATCCAAACTATTTTAGACAATTTTTAACCAGTTTCTCTATAATAGATGCCACACTAACTATTTTTCACATACGATCATTACGAATCTTATTTTTTCTTATCTATCCAAACATCTATCTCAACATCTTTGTTTTGGTTACCCCAATATTCACTATCATATAGCATAGTTGGTTTTATTACAAACACCTTGTATGTTTTGATTTCGGAGATACTAATTGTGCATGCTTCCTGTTGCACCCTACGTTCCAGGTTGTGAGAGCTTTTGATTTGTTGGATGAACTAGCAGATCTGAATAATGGAATGAAACCTGGGCAGAGCTCAGTCTTTGATTCTGCAGAGCAAAATGAACAAATCAAAATGTTCAGGAGGCTGGCTTTCGGAAGCCAGGATTACAGTACCAGTTATTTCAACGAGTCTCACAGTAGCTGGGGAAGTAGAGATCAGGAGCACCAGACCACTACTTCCTTCTCCCAAAATAGGTCTGGACCTTGGAACGTATAAAGAGATCTTCTGTACTTGAGAGGAATCAAACTAGAGAGGGAGAGAGGGGGAGAGAGAGGAGTGGATCCTACCTCTAAACATGTAGGACCCACTATTATCTGTCTGTCCCTCTTTACCTCATCGTGAAGTACTCCAGAGGATCTCTTCCTACCATGTACCCAGGGTAGCTGATAATGCTGATGCTTTCTCCAGAGAAGTTGAAGCATCTCTTGATTCAGATGATTTACACGCAGCATACCCACGTTTTCTGTAAATTTGATAGTATTATTATTGTTCTTGTTCTTATTCTTATTCTTTTGGTTCTTTTCTTTTTGTTTTTTCTCCCCATTTTGACATGGTTTTGCTTGCCATAACCTTTATTTTTTTGGTACTACAATATCAAATCTCTTGCATATCACTCCATACTCTCACCATTTCCTAACACATATTTTATGGTTAAGCTATAATGTCCATATTATTTTATATTTGATTTATTTATTTCACGGTCATGTCACATATGATTCGCATTGTATTTATTCTTCATTGATTGAGGTAAATACGTTTAGTGACTTGAAGTATGAATTTGATCAAACTATTAAATTTATTAACATTATTAATTAAATAAATTTACTGGGTATCGGGAATATCATTATTGGGACGCATTCAGATGAAAGAAACATTATTGACACAAATTCTGACAGTAGTGAATTATGATAATACAAAAGTTATAACTTGCATGTGGGACGACATAAATATTACAGCAGCATATGGTACAACAACTACAATAACAACAAGCTTTTATCTTACTAGATAGGGTCGGCTACATGGATTGTAAAATGTCATTATGTTCTATCATTTATCAAGCTTTTAAAAATATTATTAATTAAGAGATCGCGTTCAAAAACTTTCAAGAATATTCTCTTACAGCAACATATGTACATTTATATAAAATATTTTATGAAAAAAATTAGCAAAAAAAAATATTATTATACAATATAGTTTAATACAATAAATGTCAGCAAATCTATATACAGTGTATAGCATAGCTTTTCTTTCAAATACAAAAAGCAAATAAAATGTCCCCTTTTATTTGAATACTAGTATTATCTAATATATGTTATCATATTTAAATACTTTAAAAACAAAACTGTCCAGAAACTACTTTAGGAAAAAAAAAAAAATCATCCCTTGGTTGACTTATTCTTCTTCAATGGGGTCTCCGGTGCCGAAGCACGCGGCTCGTGTGTGGGTAAGAATCGTCCCAGAAGCCAGGCCACGGCGACGGCAACGACGGCGCCCAATCCGCAAACGGAAAACAATCCCAAAGCCAAAACCGACAGAACCACGGCGGCCGGTACCCATATGGGGCTTGACGCGACAATCAACACCCACAGGATGGTCACACCCACAACACTTCCGGTGACGATGAGGCCGATGAGAGCGAGTAGCTCAGCTCCGGCAATCAGAGAGCGGCGGAGAGGAAACGATACAGGGATGGGGGACGTGAAGACGCTTACGAGTTTGGCTGGGTTATGAAGTTGCCCTAGAATGAAGGTGACAGGGTTGTTAATGGCTAAGGAAAGAAGCTTTGAACGGTCTATCTGAGGAATTAGTGTTGTCTTTGAGGACATGGTTGAAAGAATGAATGCTTGAAGATAGAAAAGAGTTTAAATTCTATACGTATGTATGTGAGGTTTCTGTGGGAAGTGAAGTGGTTTCAATGATGAATTTGGGAGGAAAGAAGTGGAGTTTGGCTTAGGATTGTTTTGTTTAGGATTAGAATGTGTAGTCATAGTTATGGAAAAAAAACAAAGGAGGGATTTATACTATTTTTACTTAAGGTTTCTCTTTGAGGGAATATTCTTAGTATTTCTTAGGTCGAAGATGCATATATCATTAAAGAAAAAATTGATATATTTAATTTTATACTTCTTTCATTAAAAATTATAAAATATTTTTTAAAAAATTAAATATTAAAAAATATAAATTATTTTAAGTCTGTTAAGATGTAATCATTACTTTTTATTTTAAAAATGTCCTATTGATGAATGTTTTTATATTTATTATAGGTTGTTTTATAAGGATAATATGAAAAGATAAAGTTAGTTAGGAAGTAAGTAACTATTTTATTGGAGGTGAGATTCAATTAAAAATATTTTATATTTTTGAACGGAAGAAATATATTTAATGTACTTATTTTTAATTTAATCAAAACACATGGATCTTTTATAGATTAATTATCCTATAATAAATTCTTTTTTATTTAAATAACACATTAAAATTCTCTTTTCATAATTTAATTAAACATAAGTATATTAAATATATGAGACTAAGTATATAAGTCTTACTCTATCATTAATAAATGATATATTAAAAAAATAGAGCTGGATCATAGTTATCAAGGCATTGCAAAATATACCTGATTGCTCACACAAGATTAGACAACTAAAATTCATTTTAAAGTGTATAATAGATACATTGAAAAGAAAAAGAGAAGGAGAGAAAGAATGAATACTACAAGAGAAGTGCTCGTTTTAGGGTGAGTTTTTCCTTGAATCACTTACCTTTGTTCATGGTGTGGGGAGGCTACTGTCAAAAAGAACAACTCAATTGTCATAATTTGCCTCATAATAAAGGAAATTAATGTGATGAAATATTCACAATTTTGAAATCAATCAAGAATTAATTTATTATTAATTCTAAATTCCGATCAACTGTAATTAATTTATAATGTCAAATTTTCACCAATTGTCTCAACACAATGACCCGATCCCCATCAAAAGATGGATAAGTAAATTCTAGAATGTTTTTTCTTTCTCAATACAGTTGGCCTAATGCTGGGTAATACAGTAATTCTCTCACTTTGGGTTAAAGGAATCTTTGGTCTGAGAATGACGGGAGACCAAAAGACATTCAAGATTGAAAAAATTTCTGCAATACTTATGCCTAAAGTTGTTTGGTTCTTTCTTAGAGAGGTATGGAGCGTGAATAAAAAAATAATCATATTATATTTAATTATTCATTGACATTCAAACTGATGATTACACAGTGCAGAGATGACACTATATATACAGTAAAAAGAGTGCTGCAGGTGAGGAAAAAGAGACACAACATTCTAAAATAACATTGAACAAAATGACATTGAAGCCCTTATAAGAGGATTTATTACAATAAAAACCTATTAGCTTTGTGTCAGATATTATCATGTGAAAATACATATATGTTGTTATTAAAAGCTGAATTTTAACTTGTATTTTTTGTTAGAACTTCCTTAAAAATTTAATAAATTAAGATTTAGTTTTTAACAATATATACATATTGTTGCAAGAAAATATCTGATGTAAAACTAATAGGCTTTTATTGTGATAAATTTTTTTAAGAAGACCTTAAATATCATTCTGCCTAAATATTAAGTGATCAGTCTTAGCATCAGTGCGTAGTCTAGAAACCTTGGGCTTGACGTTATTGGGCTTGGAGTGAGCATCAGATTGGACTTTATCTTCAAAAGCCCCCCCTCAAGTTGAACAGCAGAGGAAGGACAGTGAGGCTTGATTTTAAAAATTCAAAGCGAGCAGCAGGAAGTGGCTTGGTAAAAATATCAGCAATCTGATCTTTGGAGAAAAGAAAAGTAATATTGAGAGTTTTGGCCACAACTCTCTCTCTAACAAATTAAAGTGGTAATCCAACTCAACATGTTTAGTACGAGCATGCATGATGGGCTTGGCAGAGAGACATGTAGCACCAATATTATCACAGCAAGATATGTCCCTAATTCCTTTAGCAAATATTGAAGCCAGATAAGGTCACATGTATGTAGCAAGGGCCAAAGAACGATATTCAGCTTCAGCAGATGATCCAGCAACAGTGTGTTGTTTTTTGGCAGAGCAGGACACTTAGTTTTGGCCAAAGAAAATACTAAAACCTCCAGTGGACCTTCTACCATCAGGGCAACTAGTCCAATCAGAATTAGAAAAAGCAATCAAAGAGGAGGAAGGAGACTTCCCAACAAATAAATAAACCAAAATCAGCAGTATGCTTCAGGTATCATAAAATTCTTTTAACAGCAGTCGAATGTACATCAGTAGGAGCACGAAGAAATTGACAAACTTTATTGACAGCAAAAGAGATATTTGGCCTAGTAAATGACTGATACTGAAGACTCCCAACAACATTTCGGTACAGAGTTATATCTTAAAAAAGTTTACCATGCAGCAAAGACATTTGAACACCAGAAGCCATAGGAGTGGGCATGAGTTTACAATAGAGCATATTTGTAACCCCCCCCCCCCAACAAAAAAAAAAAGATCAACAATATATTTTCTTTGAGTGAGAAACAGAGCATTTGAAATGGGTGTGGCTTCCAGACCCAAAAGAAAAATAAAAATTGCCTAGATCCTTGACTGGAAAATGCTTGTCAAGCAAATTAATAAAATAATTAACAGAAGAAGCATCAGACCCAGTTAACATAATATTATCAACATAGACCAAAATATAAAAAACAGAGGAACCTGTCAAACACATATGAAGCCAACCATATGTATTTAATATACAATCAATCTCTCTTTGTATTTGAAGTTTGACTGTTGTAACAGCAGCATAGCACTCATCACCAAATCAAAACACAGGCATGCTATATAATTAATCAATTAATCAATTAACTTGAAGAGCTAGATGATGAAGTTTGAGCTAGAATAGTGAAGATTATATTCTTGTTGATCACTTGCTTATAAGAAAATTATCGAAGCATTTTGAAATTCTAAAGCTCAATTCATATGATAGACTAATTCCCTAGGTAGGCTTTCAAAAGTTTATGGCATATCGAATATTTTCTACCCCATATGATGGACTAATAATAGTATTATACACATATCTTTGATCTTAAGAGATTGTGATTAATGAGACGACGATAATCATTCACTCATTACATTTCCATGTGAAGACAAACGAATAACAAATTAACACTAAATTAACCTCCTTTAATTACCTTATCTTTAAAAATCTATATATAGCTCAATTTGTGTTAGGATGAAGCCTCTCTTGAGCAGATCTAACACCCTCCATCTTCAACATCTCAAGCAGGATATCACTCCACGTGTCAATGGGCCCAGGCAAGCACCAATGAACACAATCATTATACAAAGTCACATTCTCTTCAGCCTTATGCCCATACCTACTTGGATGACCATCAGGTCTCATCAACATCGCTTGTGTCGTATCAAAAACCCTAATATTCAAACCCTTCTTTCTAGCTTCTTTCATAGCGATCTTATACTCCTCCATTTGTATCATATAAAACTCCAAGTCTATACCTTGTAACTGTACCTCATTGCTCTTAAATGGCTTCGTCCTCACACAGTTCCCACCTTCATTCCACAGTCCATTTTCGAAGTGTGAAGGTGCAAAAGTTCTCAGAAAAGTAATGCCTTTGAAGTTTTCCGTATTTAAGATGGTTTTGAACGCCGTCCGGAAAGCTTTCCGGTAACCGTAGTACATGGTTAGGTCAGGGACGTTGGGGAGGAGGCAGTAGTGGCAACCGACGACGGTTTGCTTCTCGTAGAAGACCATGGACCTCATGAACCAGTGGCCGCCGTTAAGAATGATGTAATCAAAGTCGGCGATTTGGGTGGCCCACTTGTCGTCAGGCTCGTCGAGGTAGAGGTTGTAGATGCCGGAGTTGGTTGGACCGCCGGAGTCGGCTTCTTTGGACTTGACTAGGTGTGGTGTCCAGAAGGTGGCCATGGTGAAGTTGTAGTTAGGGTACTTCCAACGCTTGAAATAGTCGTCTTGTGTCAATGATACGTCTATTGGCCATTCTGCCTGAAATAATTTAGATAACATTAATTATGATCATGAGAATAAAAAATGTATTAACTAAAGAATGTAAGTCCTTTGTAATTAATTACATAATTGTATAATCATGGAAATAATGAATAATGAGTTAAAGTATGTATTATATTGATGACTTCAAAGTCTAATTAAGCTAGTTGCCCAAGTTAAATTCCAGATCTTTTTGGTTATAAATTGACTGCGTACTATAATGCAATCCCAAAAATAAAAAGAACAAAAATATAATGAATGTAAAACAAGAAAGTGATGAATTAACTTAAACTCCTACGTAATTTTAGTTTCACAAAACTTGTATGACTGTAAAAAAAAAAGTTACATTTGATGGATAAGTAGAATTTGTTAAACTTAATTTTTTTTAAATATTTCTAATGTTGGTAATGCCATGCATATATAGTGTCAAAAAAATATTTATTTATCTACTGTTGTTGGTCGAGTGGAAAGCGACTTAATTGCTTTTAAGCAAAGTTGACAGTTCGAGGCTTCGAGCTATTGTAAATGAAAAAAGTCAAGTTAAAAGATTTGCTTCGAATTAGATCAAGTAATGCTGACATTAGACTTAGTAATGCTAGATATCAAATAATAATATCCAAATTAAATTCTCTATAATTATATATAAAAAATTCTATAGTATATATTCTCTATAATTAATTCTAATATTATTAATCTTAATTTCAGTTCCTGGTCAGTGAAGACTAAAAGAGAAACGCAACATGATACGATGCACGAACTCTAAGTATCCAGCTAACAAATATATATTATATTTGTAAGAGAACTTTTAGGCACGAGACACACGGAAAGTGATATTAATAATGCATTACAGGCACAATAATTCATAATCATGGTGACTTTTCATCCACGACATCTCAATTTAGATATTCATCTTCTAGGCCCCATCATATTTGTCTTTAAACCTAACAAACATATAATAATAAGTACACACAGATGAGAGAATTCAAATAACTGAGTCTGTGTGCCTTTTTAAAAAAAAAAAAAACAAATGATATGGGGAGACCTCTGTGATAATTATAGCAACATTAAATTATGTATTATTGAGAGTACACTTAAAAAAGATACACTTCATAACTAGATAATGACAATTATATTGGCTTGGGCTGTGTGGTTTAAATTATTTGTTTGACACAAATTATACTAATATTATGGGCATTATATACTTGAAGATATATGTTAGAAAACAATACACTATTTTCTGTTGAAGAAAAAAAAAACAGTTTTTGTGTGTTGTTATTCTTTTATATCTAGAATATTTATATTTGATTTGAATTTTATTTTTTATTTATTTTCATTTTATATTTAAAATACATTATTTCTGTATTTTTCTCTGATGAAAAAGTAAAAAGTTAAAAAATAGAATAAAACTAAAATGTCTAGATCACATCTTGACTGGTTCAGGTCTATTAAAAGATATTGTAGCACTTTTTTCTCAATTTCCTTAGTTTAATAAGAATTTCAACGACTATTGGATTTCTTAAAAGGCCTTTTTAATCATTATAGTTTCTATTCATATAGCAGCCATTTAAACCATTAACAAATATGGGTTGGGAATTTTTAATGTACCATTCTTTAACGTATCTTATAATATTTTAACTTTTTAATTTTTTTTAAATTATTTGCTTTTATATAAAATAAGAGACATTTGAATATTTTAATATCCTAAAATGATAAAGATTTATATTTTTTATGATTTTTAAAAAATAAAAGAATATATTTGTGATATTTTTCTTTAAAAAAATCATAAAAATACAAATCTTCATTATTTTAGGATATCAAGATATCTAAATGTCTCTTATTTTATGCAAAAGTTAATGATCTAAAAAAAATAAAAAACAAAATTGAGAAGTTGAAACATCATAAGAAGCATTAGAAAATGACACATTAAAGGCCTATAGTCGAACAAATATTGAATGGCCAAGGACATACAGTATGGCCTATAATTTAATTATGCAGATATAAACAAATTGAATTTAACTGTTTTGCAAATTGCTTTGATTGCCAAAGACAGTGAGAATGTACCTTTTTTAATTATCATCATCATCATCATCATCTTAAAATATTTGAAATCTTACTTTTCAAATTTATTAATGTACTCTTAATGAGAGAAACTTTAATTAGATGCATTGGTGTCCTAATCTAAATAATATTGTTTGTTATAAATTAAATTCAATATTGATATTGATATTATTAACTAATTTTAAGTTAACTATCTCACTTCTGATATTTGCATTTTAATAGTTTAATTTAATTTATCAAAACTTAATGAAATCAATCTGAATAAAAAAGTCGTCTGGATCAGAAAGAAAATAAAATGAAAAGGACAATCAATATCACAGAATAAACAAAATACTAAAGCAGTTTGATCCACAACCCCCAATATTGCAAGCATATCTTTCCAGAATTTGAAAACTAAAAAAAGAAAGAAAAATTAAGAAAAGCAAAAGGAAGGCTTATAATAATAATAATAATAATAATAATAATAATAATAATAATAATAATAATAATGGGTTAATAAAGTTTCATCTGGCCAGTAAGGAAATTGGTAGACAAAGTAGAGACTATTACATTTGGATATTATATATTTGGCAGAATAGGCAGACCAAGATTCGATGTTATCTTAGGATTCTTTTCTTCATTTGTATGCTTCTTTGCATGTTACTGCCATTGTCATCATTCATTAATTATTAATTACCTAATCCTTGAATCCCACAATGGCTTAGTTCAACTAATCCCTCTCTTAGTAAAACTAGGAGTAGGTGATGCTTTTAAATTAAAATAGAAACAAGATCCAATAAATTAATTACCGACACACTAAGATTAAAAGGTAAAATTGCATCTGAGTCCCTGATAATTATTATTTACATTTACATTTACATTTACATTAACAAATATTAACAAGCCCGTGAGTAATTTTTCTAAAACTGATATTCATTAATTTCTATAAAGTTTTTTCCTTTTTTATATAATTTTCCTATTTTACTATTTTTGACAAAGTTTAAAATTTTCTCCCTCATTCTAAAGAAAAAAAGGACAAACTTCATAAGAATTTAGTCCTAACAAACCTTGGTTAGTCTAGAGTTGCTTTATTTATGATATATAAATAATTTAGCTTACTACTTGCTGGAAATTTCATGTTTTACACTAATAATTAGATATATTTGGAATCATGAACCACATAGTATAATCAGTATACATCCATCATGAAGATACAAACTTCATTGCCAAGGATAATGATGATGAGAATAACCTTTTTTGTACCAAAAGAAAAGTTTAGGTAATAATTATAGGGTCATTTTGGTTCTACACTTTGAGTAAAGATATGTAGAATCCCACACAAACACACACTTGACGTTCCGACCAAGCATATAATTGATACCGAGTCTTTAATTTTTGGGTGGGGGGGGGGGGTTGGAGGAAACCACCTTTAAAATAATTTAAGAATTTCAAAAACAAATTTAGATGAATTGATGAATGAGTTTATACTACGATATTATTCTGAGCACAAATTTATTTTAGTCCTCACTAGATATACTTAAACTTATTATTTATTACTTTTCTTATATTTATGTCACTTAGCCCTCAGTTATTCAAAGTCTTGCATTCTATCCTTTTTTAAAATTTAACACCAATCCTATCTACCTGGCTTACTTTATTATTAATCCCTAAGATTCAATGTCCAAATAAAAAATAAATAATACTGTAAGATTTGACATTAATTTTACGTCGAGAAATGAGATACGGAACAGACAACATGACTAATATTAAAATCCTAAATGATCATTAATTTAATGACAATTAAATTTTTAATAAAATTTTTTTAATATATAAAATATATATTAAATATTAATTCAAACAAGTGCAAATATAAATCCAATTGTAATTAGAATGTATAGAATTTCTAAAATTGCAATTATTTTAAAATTTTATTTGAGACCTAGTTATCATTAATTCAATCTATTAGGACTTAATAGTAATTCTTCCAATATTTTAATAACTAAAATTTCACCTATTATATTTATAACTTTTCCCCCAATATCGTAAAAAAAAAAAAAAAAAACCCCACCAACTATAATTTTTTCTACTAGTAAACGATTAATATAGTCGTTATCATAACAAAAACAGCTAAAAAACTGGTAATGTTAGGGGCAAAGAACAATTTACTAACCCTCGAAAGAAGGCAAATCATGGACTGCATCTGATTCCTCCCAATGGAATCTCCAACGAACGCCATAGATTTTCCCCTCACGATCTCCAGAAACTGAAACGGATTGAAGATCGGAAGGTCACAGCCATTAGGTTTCCATCTCCATTTCAGGAACTCCGAATCTGGTCTTCCATACTTCAAGCAGTTCTGGTGTTCATGGATGGCCCAGCACGTTGTGTTCGAGTAATACGGAGCCTTAGCGTTCGGAACCCACTCTCCTGTGAACAGGTCGCACATGGTGATCGAGGTCGACGGCAGACTCGTCGTCGACTCGTTCAGATCATCAAATGCAGACGATAAGGATAATGAAGAAGACGGTGACGATGACGGTGACGAATGGTGATATCGGAACAGAGGGCTTGATAATGGAGAGATGGTGAAGAGAAGAATGGCGAAAACTGCGAGTAATGTTACTTTTGGGATCATTTGCTTTGGGCTGTTCTTCCCAAACAGGAGCTCCATTAATTGGAACTTCATCTTCGACACACAGAGAAAGGGAAAGAGATCACAGAGAAAGAGAGAGAGAAGGGAAGAGAATCAACGAAGCTATTGTAGATCTATTTCATATATATATTGAGAGAGAGAGAGAGAGAAGTGAGATAAGGTGTGTTCATTTAACTTTTTTTTTTTTAAGTTTTTGTAGGATTACGTATAAAACTGTGCATTGATTATATATTTTTAGTAATAACTATGTACTAGTAATTAATTAACTTAGGTAATTACCCATCGTTTAGAAAAAAGAGGGGTTTTACTAATGAGTGTGTCTTCAAAATTCGATTCACAAATTATTCATTATAGCTTATTTAACTTGATAAAGATTAGTGGGCATCTCACAACTAGTTGTAATGTAAATAATAAATAAGACTCTACAAATTTTATAATTGATATGGGTTATGATTTACAATGTTAAATTAAAGGAACTAATTGATAATGGGTCATAAGGATAAGCATATTGATTTTACAATTAAATTTCTTATTACTTAATTACTGATATTACAGTTAAATAAAGTTCTTATTGTTTAAGCTTTTTTTAATACACCCATCAATTAATGTCTCGCATAAATCGTGTTTGGCAACTAGAGAGTACTTTATATATATATATATATATATATATATAAAGGATTTTAATAATTAGGAGGCACGTGACGCATCTAATGAGTGCTTGTGCCTTGATCTGATCTCTCACATCCCTTTCCTCTAGAACTCGTGCAATGTTTTGGGTTTTCAAAGTGGTAATATTTTAATTTTGTGAAACCCAAATATTTAATTGAGGAAAGTTAGATTTTCCTTTTCAATTCAAAGATTACCAATTTGAATGTCTTGCATGTATACAAACTACACTTGTACCAAAAAAAAAAATCGTTGCTTAGATTTATACAGGGTATGAGTTAGAGAGATGGGTTGGATTAGATTCACCCATTTTTCATTTGGGTTGAACAAAATTCAAACCTGACTTCGACTATGTGAGTTGCTGGGATGTCTACATTCACTGATGATGCTTCCCCTCTACATCTAATAAATCTAGGCCATTGATTTAGCGTAAAAAATTTCGAAAAGAATTTCAAATTAATATTTTCAAGTGTTATTTGATATCAATGAAAATCTCTATGTTATTCATGCCCTTAAAAAATCTAGAGGATGAAACTTTCTAAATATATTTTTATTCTTCCAAATAAATTAAAACATAAACTATAAATAATTTACAATTTTTCTTATTCTTTGGTTAAATATTTCTTTTTTTAAATATTATAGTTTATGGTTATAAAAAATTTATTTTATAATTTTATATATTATTTAAAAATATCAAATTAATTATAACTAGTCTCTGGTTTCAATCACAATTCAATCATTAACTATTAAATTAATGAATGTAGATGAAAAGCACCATTAATGGATGTAGATCGATATTTAGGTTCCAGTTAAATGAGCCAACCTACTAATTCACTTAATTTAAAAAAAATCAAGTTTTTTATACCTACATGGTACATGTCGATACATCATACAATTTAAGATTTACATCATAATATAATTATCTATATTAATAAATAAAAAATAAAAAATATCCATTAAAATAAATATGAGTTATAGTATATCTATTAAAATTTACAAATCAAATTTGAGAAGTCAAAGTTCAATCTGCCTTATAGGTAAAGAGAGCACAAATAGTCGAATGCTAGAGGAAGGGGAAGGTTGAACACAACTTAGGCATCTATGTTGGGTTCTTTTTTATAATTTTTAATTTTGTTTTGTTTTTTTAAGTAAATAATGCTAGAAACCTTGGACCTTTTCTTTTACTTCATAATTTTTTTCCTATATGGGTTAAGTAAGCTAACCTTAATTGGAGGTGTTAACAGGACAAGATGGGACTAAGACATTTTTGTCCTGTGTTCCATTCGAAAAAATAATCAAAATTGAATTTTGATCTCGTATTTTATCTCATCTTATTAAAATCAAGATGAAATTGAGTCGTCTCAATAAAGCGGATAATATAGGAGAAAATCTTAGATATTAATATTCATTAAAATATTAAATAACATAACTTGTTAAGTTTAAAACTAAAACAATACAAGTACGTAAATTACAACAATTTAAAATTAATTATTAACTTATATCAATCATAACTACAAGTATATAATTTAAAGTCAAGCATATATGAGACATAACATATTATGATAATAATTATAAGTGACCTCCAAACTATAAGAGCAACAATAATAAATAAGTTAGATAAAATATCAAGTCATTGTTCTTCTTTAATTGAGATATTTGAAGCTATTGACTCTTCCATAAATAAAACAAGAAATATGATATACATAAAAATTATCAAATAAATAGAAATAAGAATAAACTCTATTAATATAATTAATATATTGTAAAAAAAAAGATTACCTTGTATTGCTTGCTCTGTGTAATTAAAATTATTAGTATAAAAAACTTAGTTTTAAATAGGAATTGCAAATATTGAAATTTTAATTAATATAATTTATTGTTAATATAAGAAAAATTATATTAATATAATTAATAAATTTAATGTATATTTTTAAAATAAAATAATATATGTATAATATTTGAGATGAGACAAGATATTTCGAGTCTCATATCTCGTCCTGCAAAATTCTATCTCACCTTTTTTCAAGCCTGAAAAGACTCATCCTGATATAATCGGGATGAAACTAAGCCGATTGAAATAGGTATAATGTTGAACATGATTAACCCTAACCCACTAGTGTTCACTCATTTAAAACTGATAATGGCCAATATTGCAAAAATATTAACACATTCTAATTCTATTTGGGTCAATATTTTTGCAACCCAATTTGACTCATATAATAAGTTATTTGGACAAATATGTATAACCTGATCCCAGCTCTAAGTAAGCCTGCAAAACAAACACAGACTATTTTGAAAACCTTGCACTTGAATACATAAGCTTCCTCCAATACCAACTCACATCAATGAGTACATTTTAAGCCCACAAATTCCTCTTTTTAAGATATACTTCATTCACCAATTCAACCCATAATATTTCTTTTTTCCCAATAGTCAATATAAACTTTTCTATAATTGCTTCATTCCACAGTTTACAATCTGTTAAATTTATACCTCCACAAGCTTCCATAAAACAACATTGATCCCATGACACTTAGTGCCTGTTTGGATAAGGTCGGGAATCGATTTTTTTGCTGATAATCGTTTTTTAAAAGAAAATTAGCCAAACACCACATTTATGATTAATCGATTAAAAAGCTGATAATCACGTTTTGGCATAATCTGAAAATTTCAGCTTTTTCAAATGATTTTTCCCTTTATGAATTAATTATTTCTGATCCACTCTCTCTCACCTACCCATATCAGCCTCATGAATGTGTTATTATAAACATATTATGTAATTTAAATAATATATTTTACTTCTTAAATAAAATTTAACAATTTTAATAATATTAGATATAAATTTATCAATAATTTAATTTTAAAAAAAATATTCTTTATGGTAATTTACTTAGCTAAAATTAATTCTAAATAAATTATCTAAACATTTTTAATTCTGTTAAAATTAATTTTAAAAAAATAGTATCCAAACATATTATATTATAATATAATTAATTATGATTAAAATATATTATTTAATTAATTATTTTTATAATCAATTATACCTAACTAAAATCCAAATGGGCACTTAAGTGCTTTACTCTTTAATCCACTATCATTTTTGGCAAACTTATAGAATATTTTTTCCTCTCCTGCAATTGAAACAAAACAAAAACTTGAGACCAAAAAACATGTATAGAAAGGAAAACAAAACTTTTCTAGTTAACACCTTCCAGCATAAATATATGACAAGTGATGACTGAAAAGCACAAGTTTTTTACACGAGTTACAATATTGAATTTTCTAAAAATAATATTTTGGCGATCATTTCCCCTCCATTTAGAACGAAAAAGGGGAACATCTCCTTAATTATGCTTATTTCAGCTTAAAGTATTTAGATCTTTAGTTATTTATTATATACATAAATAATAAAAGGTGGGCTTCTCATCGAAGCAACCAAGATGCTTAATTTAATGTAGAATAGTTGTGCGCAGTCAAATTTGCACATGGGAAGGAGATTCTTTCATACATATCCACATTTATAGTCTATTGCTGTTTTTTTTTTTTTTTCTATATGAAAAAAGGTTTATGTTAGGTTCACTCTCATCAAAATCAGGGAATACTTTTAGATTCAGAGAGTTTATGGAAGTATTTATATATTATCTACAACAAAATTCTCACATCAACAAGATTTAAATCCACAACTGTATGAGTTATTGGCAAAATCCTTATTACCCAGACTAAGTTTTGCTGGTTCTATGGCCTAATTTAACTCACTTAAATTATACCCTTTTTTATCAATCTAATTTATGGAAGGTGTATTGAGGAAGTTAGAGACAAGTGTTTGGTGTTATTGGGCCTCTGACAAAACAGGATCCAAACAATAATGGGCCTGTTGTCAAACGGCATAACAAAGGGGGAAGAGTTGTAGCCAATGTTAAGAAAACCCAACTATTAAATCTATTAAGACATGAATTTATAGTGTAATGGTCATAGTTGAATTATGGTATAGACTGGTCATTAATAAATTAATTTATTTTAAATAATATATTCTTCAAATTAAAAAATATTTATAATAATAAAAATGAACATTTAGATAAAAATAAAAGTAATATATAATAAAAAAGATAATGTATATTCTAAATTTATAAATTATAAAATAAAAACATATTTTTGGGTGAACATTATAGAGAACCATCATTATCACAGCAAAGAACTCGCAACTCTCTGCAGACCCTTAGCGACGTCATTTCCATATCAGGTAGCCAAGGAAGAGAAGTATGAGATAACATAATAAAAAGAGGAGGAAGGACGGTGTTGTTAAGGGCGTTTTTGTCTCTTTCTTTTACTTATATTAATTAAATTTAAAAATAATTCAATTTCATTATTTTCAATATTTAACCAAACAAACTTATGGTAATCGTAATTACATTAGATAGCATTACCATTACA